TATTCAATTTATTTTTTCTGTAATTTGTGGATGGAGTAAAAAATACTACCCAAAAAAGTAAAAAGTGAACGAAAAATAGGAGGGAGTAATAATGTAATATATACAGTAGTTAATAAACACAAATATTTTTTTATTAATCATCACAATAATTGTAATAGGCAATGTGGGCTCACATGATTGTAAGGGCATAAATCCTCTTCTATAAAAAAAATAAATTTACAAAAGAAAAAGGAGTCTAATATAATTGTGATATTTAAAAAAAAACTAAGGTAATAAAAAAATGCCCTTATGTGTTCCCACCCCCACAACCATAAATATTTAAAATTTTAAAGTAATCATCATTATTATCAAATTTGTTTATCTATATATATATATATATATATATATATATATATATATATATATATATATATATATATATATATATATAAATCAAGATGTTATCTTTCTCTTCATTTTTTCATATGTTGAAGTTGCAGCAGCAGCTCCAGCTTCCATGGAAGAAGAGATGGATGATGGTGAAGATACAGGTGCAGATGATGGAGACCCCATTGGAGAATCTGACAACAATTGACATTCTGCAGTGGATAACAACATGCATGACAACACAAGAACAATGATGAGTTTCTTAGACTCCATTTTATTTTTTATTTTTATTTTTATTTTTTGGATTTTTTTTCTTGTGAATTGAAAGAGACTTATTATTAATTATTGTTGCTGGGAAATGTATGAGGATACTCAACATTTATATAGATGATGGGATCTTCAAATTTAATGGTCATGAGTGGAAATAGGTTTTATAAGGACAATATGTAATAGAAAAAATTGATATAAATACTCCCAGAAATTTGAAATTTTACAATAATACTCCCAAATTTAATTAAAGACTCTGGTGCTCCCAATTAAACTATAAGTTTACATTGCTACTCCCACTATTCCTAATCAGCTTTTCTTATGCTTACATGTAAGTAGTTATGTTTAGTTGGCATCTTAGTTGTTCTTTTTGTTTTAATAAGAGAAAAAAATTGTATAAATACTCTCTGAAATTCAAAATTTTACAATAATCTCTCAAAACCAAATAAAGATTCCAGTACTCTAAAAAATATCTTTCTTTTACGTGTTATGATGTTTAATAAAAGTGGTGTGAAATCAAAAAATAAAATTATATATCTAAAAACTACATTATAAGATCTATAAAACTAGTAATGATATAATTATATTATTTTATCAAATACATAATTAAAATAGATAAGCAAAGTAAATAAAATTTGATCTTGTTAATACTCTTGATAGTGAATGAGAAGATAATTTTTGGACAAAGGGATATTTTTTAGTAAAATATAAAAAACTACTTAAGATGCCAATTAAGCTCAATTAATTAATCTTTAATATTACTAAAAAAATTATTTTTACATATTGCTATATTATTTTTTAATATGTGATTTTTATTTTTTAATTTCACACCATTTTTCATATAAAATACTTTTAAAATAATTTCAATCAAATATAGTAACGTGCAACGAGAATATACTTTTAGGAGAATTGGAGTCTTTATTTGATTTTGGAGAATTATTGTAAAATTTTGAATTTCTATGAGTATTTATATAATTTTTTCCTCTTATTAAAACAAAAAACAACAACTAAGATGTCAACTAAGCATAATTACTTACATGTAAGCATAAGAAAAGCTGATTAGAGATAGTGGGAGTAGTAATGTAAACTTATAGTTTAATTGGGAGCACCAGAGTCTTTTATTGAATTTGGGAGTATTATTGTGAAATTTCAAATTTCTGGGAGTATTTATATCAATTTTTCCTATGTAATATTGTTCTGTTAATAAAATTGTGTTTCAGTCTTAATGACTATAAACTCGGAGTGCTACAATTTTATAGTTACCACAAAAAAATATCCCGGCCTATTTTTATTTGCTCGAAACACAGCCCCGAATATGCTAGCTTTTGAATAAAAAATTTGTTAACTCAGCAATATGACCGAATCCGGAATGACCCGTAAAATTGGGTCTAACGCGACTGAATCCAAACATGAGTGAGGTAATACTTGTATAATTCTAAATCATGTATTTTAATATGAATTATAATATTACGGGTCATGCTAGGGTAAACCAAGATGGTGTACACAGATCTTACCCTCGCCAGAATCGTTACCTCGTAAAATGTATTATCCCAATAGACGGTTAGACAGCTCGTAATGTACTATCCCAATTTTTGATGTTTTTTTGTTAGGATAATATGCATAAATAGTCATCGTGGTATTTCATAAGTGAGTAAATAGTTCTCGTGATATTTCATAAGTAAATAATCCTTGAATTTTTCAAAGTTGTGAAATAGTTATGTGGTCAATGAATCGTTGCATAATTAGTCATGTCTTTAAGGAAAACTTGAAGACTGTAGAACTAAGAGTATTATGCAAATATGTGATGCATGTCACAATAAAAAAATTGATCTGGAGTTTTATTTGTGACGTGTAAGTTAGCTTGAACCGCGCGTAGTACAATATGATGTCTTCTATAGTTCTTCTTAAATAGTACTACAATGTTCTAAATAAGGTCAACATAATTTCATCATGTATATTTTCTACAATTTAACTTTTTATTTTCCTTAAATTTATCAGGTGTTAGGTTGTTCGCTATTTAATTTCATTATATATATATATATATATATATATATATATATATATATATATATATATATATATATACATACATACATACATACATACATACATACACTCCCTCCATCCCACTTCTTTGTCCACTTAACTTTTGGCACACCATCCAATCCACTTCTTTAATCCATTTTATCTTGTAATTTGTATATTAAAAATTATAGAAATTATATATTAATAATCTATATGTTAAGACAAATCAAACAAGATCACACATGACTATATTTAGGCTTACACATTGAGAGAATTTAATGAGTCAAAGTGCTTAGATAAACAGTTCCAAAAGTCAAAAGTGGACAAAGAAAGTGGGACGGAGGTAGTATATATTATTTCCGTTTCTGATTATTTGTCAAGTTTTTACTTTTTCCAATCAACTTTTTCAACATTTGATCTATAATGAAATAATATAGAACATTTGACCTATTTTATCATTTTTATTGATAAAAAATATTATATCTAATAAAAATATTTTTTTTATCAATATCTAATATTAAATTTAATTAACTAATGATCAAAGTTTATCAATTTTGACTTTAAAAAAATCAAAACACGACAAATATGACGAAAGTAAAAGTAGTACAAACAAATTTATGTTTTAATTGGACTATGAATTTGAGCACAAGGCCTTCTAAGTGTCAAGTCCGGCCCTTGCATACCTATATTTTCATATCATTTTGCAACTATAATTCTTAAAAATAACACAATTATTACTTCTTCTGTCCTAAAATTAACATTCTACATTTTTTATGCTTATTCCAAAATCAACCTTTCATTTTCTTTTATCACTTTTAGCTTTTACTACTCTTACATACAAAATAAGAACTTGAAAACCTAAGAAAAATAACAAATAAAGAGTTGCAAGTATATTTGCTTTGGAAAGTAGTTAAATTTCTAAAATTCTAGTCCTCTTTTGTACAATTACTTTTTTTGCCTTAAAATTTCACGTAAATCTTATAGAAATATCTCAAATGATTTAAATAGTTATATACTCACTCCGTCCCAAAATATTTGTCACTTGCTTTTTCAGCAGTCGCGAGAACTTTTGTTTATTTCTACGTTTTCATTGGTTATTTGATAAAATAAAATATTCGTGACACCTCTTATTTCAAAAAAAATTTCATGTAGTTTTTTGATATGTAAATTTTATTTTTTTATTTCTATACCAATATGTAAATAAAATGAATTAAAAAAATTTGATATTTTTACCTCAGGAATACAAGTGACAAATATTTAGGGACGGAGGGAGCATATTAATCATTTGTTACCCAATATAAGACAATGTTAGATATTAAGCCGTATTATAACTAATATTATTATTTAATGCAATAATAATGAATGAAAATTAAAAGGAAAATATACAATACTATGGAGTATTCTGATCCATATATTGTACGGAGTACTCCGTAAGGTAGACATAATACTTCATAAAGAAGTATTTTGAAAATACTTTGGTTTTTTCTAATAATTTGGAAAAGTTTAAAATTAGTCCCGCTCTTTGAAATACTCTTTAATTCTTAAAAATATTACATGTTAATTTAAAATAAATTTTCTTTCCGTGCAACGCACGGGTACGAGTCTAATAATAGTACACAAATAAATACTTGGAATGCCCCGTAGTAAACTTCCAAGAATTCAATTCATGACCATCAGTTTTAAGTTTCTGTATCCCAACCCCATCCCATTTTATATTGTTTCGGGTTTGGGTTCGGATAAAAAAGCAAATCACGTTCAAAAACACAACAATTTGTTATCATTACGATCCAGTATGATATCATATTAATTCTTGTTTTTTTTGTCCATCCCAAGTTAGGAGAATTTAGGCTTTGGGTCCTGCTGGTAAGTCCTATGACCCACTTATGTTTAAAACTGTTAACTAAGAGAAACTTTGATGTTCCAATGGATAAACTAAAAACAGTCTCAAGTTCTCTTTTTTTGTTACTGATTTCTACTCCCTCTGTTCTTGAAAAAGTTCCACTTTTAACCAAGTGATAAAATAAAGAAGTGTCAAATTGTAGTTGACTTCCAATTTTTCCTTGATGTGATAGATAGATTATTAGATAAAAATACGATGTGATAGATAGGGTAAGAAAAAGTAGAGGTAAGATGGGCTTTTTAATAGAAAGTGGAAGTATTTTGTTGAAAGTAAAAAAAAATAAAAGAGGAAGTGTTTTTGAGAACAGGAGTAGGAATTTGTTGACTTCTAAGGCATTGCAAGAAACCCTAAATAGTTTGGTAATGACAGGTATTGAGAAGGAAATGGTGGCAGTAAGAAAATGAGATGCCCGGAAAGGGAATCATTGTTCACTTGTGATAAACAGTACAGTAAATAAAGTACTCCGGGTAACATTAGCAGACTAAAAACTACAGTAAATAACCTTATTTTTAACCCTAATTGTTACAGAGTTAATACAACAAGTGATGCTCAAATACATGATCAAATGTGTGTTGTTTAAAATGGAAGTGAGCTTCATCAGCATGTAAATAAAAATAGGAAAAATTAATCAATGTGCGTGTACGTATATAAGAGTATATATTAGCTTCAGAAGCAAACCTGGAGATGGCTCTCCCTATAGAAGCTTCACATTACACCAGAGTCCAAAGCCTTGATAATCTTTCGTCTCCACACAGCCGTATCGGGGTCGAATCGGAGTTCCCATGTTGGCCAATAGTGTAAATCTTGCTTCAAAGTAAGTACCCGGGGCTTCCCGTTCAAGTTCACCGTTCTTACGCGAACAAACTCTTCATGCTCTAATCCCTGACAACCACACACTCGTTAGCAAAACCAAATTGAGGCAGGAACGGAATACGGCTACTAGCCCGTTTGAAAGGATAAATTTTGTTGGATAGTCTGATGATATATACTCCCTCTCCCTAAGATGTTCTCATTTTGACTTTTTGTTGTTTTTGAGGAGAGTTGGAAAAGGTAAAAGTTTACCAAAATTCCCTCGATGAAAATGGGTGGAGTATATTAAATGAGGTGGGTGAGGTGTAATAAACAAAGTGGGGGTAGTTGTGGCATTTTAAATGTTAAAAAAGGCAATGAGAAGATCTATGGGGGACAAATTAAAAAGGGCTAATGGGAATATCATCTATGGGGGACGGAGAGAGTAACTAAATGTCTACCGCAAAAGACCTTGTAGTTGAGCAGCATAACTGTGACTCTCCCAGATGGGAGGTCATAGGTTTGAATCCCAGTGGAAGTAATGACTCATTGTGCTTTAATAGGTTGAGAGAGTACGTATGAATGAAGAGATACTACATCACAACAGAGTTAATTCAAAAAACAGTTTTGCTAGGGTAAACGAAATTAATTGGCATACCTCAGTAACCGCAATAAAAGAATCCAGATCAGGAGTTGGTTTCCCATTGATTTCGAGAATCCATTGAAGAGCATACAGACCATACCTATGCGCAGGGCTCCCATGACACCACCTGATAGTTTGAAATTTTTGCAAAAGTATATTTATCAAATGACACATCAGCTTCAAACAAAAATATAAAATATACTACTACTCTAGCAAGGTACATCCAACAACAATCAACTCGATAAAGTAACTTAAAGGGTCCCACTATCAAATAATACACCATCTTTGCATTTATATATACACACAAGAACCCCGTATAATCCCAACTTAATTCAGGTGTGGGGGGTCAAAATGTACATAGTATTACCCCTGAAGGGTGTTCCCATCAGACTGGATGCATTGTTGCATTTACTTGCCAAAACTTTATAGAAAGTAAGAAGCAATAGAAGTTTAATGTCATTTCAATTTAGTCTGTTATGTGCCCGAAAAGAAAGTATTGTCGGACTTGTTTGCCAGTTACTCAGGCACTTGAAATACTGACCTTGTCACATAAACTCCATGACCTTTTTTGGGAAGAAATCCAAGTGCACGGACTGCAGGATGAGGATCTTGGACAATAGACCCACACCAATTTATTGCATGGGTAGTTCCAATCCCATCCCTCACATCTGTTCCCACAAGTAGTTCAATTTCATGCCCCTGACAAAAAAAACAGGTTATAAGGAACACAGTATCATACAAGCATGACAACAAAAACTGGAAACACATGATTTAGATACAAAAACAGGGGGGGAAAAGTGGTTCCGGTTGCCGACCTGGCGAAATATGGTCATGCACAGTTTGGCATCATCGTCATCACGCCCGTCTAAGGTTTGACAAGCATCTTCAATGTCACGAAAACAAGTAACAGGCTCCTTGTTGATGGCCAAGACCATGTCACCTTGTTCTAAGAAGCTTTCAGCCCTTGAGCCAGCAAAACAACTTTTAACTCTCAAAACCTGACGTCTAATAGAATCTTTTTTCACAAGGGCCTAATAGAATAAACCGGAGTGTTAACAAAGCAGTTTTGAAATTGCAGTAGATTTGAAAATCACCAAGCAGTCACATTTGGATGAAAAATGACAAGCCTGATCCTTTAGCATTACCAAAAAATATAAACCAAGTATACCCCAGCACATGTTTATACTAACTCCAGTCCCCATAGTTTACATAGCACATAAAGCAGAAAATATTATGTGTATTTAAGTGGAAATACATGTTAAATAACAAGACAAATCTAGTAATATAAAATCATAATTTACCCTTTAAGCTTGGGAAATGAGGTGCTGGCATGCAAAAAAAAAGGAGCTGTGTCGTTGATTTAAAGTGCATAAAGTATAGAAGTAAGGACGTTTTTGGCCCACACAAATATGAAAAATATGGAATCAGACAAACAGAGTGAGACTGATAAAATAAGTAAAAAGGGACAAAGACAATTGATATATAGAGTAATACATTACTTATTTAGAAAAATAAGAGACATTACACCAAACTGGAGTAGGAAATTCTGGAGTTTCTATATATCCATCCTAGGGGGGCAAAACTTGAGCAGAGAAACTCACCTGGATCCAAGTGTCACTTAATCCAAAATTGCGGGCTTTGGAAAGCAAAGTAGGATAAAGTTCAGCTTCTAATATTCTTGTCAGTGGCATAGGCCTTTTGACACCATTTATGAGAAGATGAGGTCCATTAGCACCAGAAATAATTTTATCAAGAACGCGACCAATTGCGTAAATTGGAATTCCACGGACAAATTGATGATCTTCGGATGAACTGCCACCATATCTGATCTGGAAATGGAAACACATCCATTAAACGTGTGTATTAAAAGAGAAGCTCAAAAGAACAAACAAAGCATACACCTTTTTATTTTTTAAATGTTTCCGTCCCTTTGATCGATAGTTACGAATGCCAACCTGAGTTGAAAAGCTACCCCATAAAGCTTGAACTCTTCCACGCTCATCAGTCAGCACGCCAGAAAATGAAGTGCCGAAATCTGAAACAGAAGAATATCATGGAAATTTACTAATGTTCAATAAAATGCCTCCCGGAAACAGTAGAGCAAATCAGCTAAATGCTTAAGATTGTGAACAATGTGAGGCCAACATACCAGTGTCAAGCTCAATAACTTCCATATTTATTGCTCTATACCGTGGACAGTCAGCTGATCCAATATTCAGGGCAGCACAAGGATTCGTAACAATTGATTTCCGAGAGGTTGCCTGCAGGCTTCTGCTTAATCCCACAAGGGACACTGAAACACCACGGTGAAGCAAGGGTTCTGTTCACATTAAATGAGATGTTAATAGTAACAAAATGTAAGTTCAACAACTCATATAAACCCAATTTCATAAGTTATTTGAGCAGCTTTTAGCTATTTGACAAGGTCATACACAACCACACCAGCAATAGCATTACCCTAGTGCCTCAAAGGCTCCTGNGGATGGTAACACAAACAGGGACACACATCCTCCTTTCTTTCTGCCATGTATGTTGACAGTAGTTACCAATTATGAATCAGTTAAGATATGGTAATCAATTAGACCATTACTTAACTTTTTCTTTATTTATTCAGAGATATTACAATTCAGCGCTTTATTTTGGGTGGAGAAACTAATTGACTAGAACCACCCTTAAAAAATGGCATGCTTAACTTCAAGCTTTCTCTATAATCATTTGGGGTCTGTTAGAATGTAAAAACCTTTCTTGGACCTACAACCACAAACTTGAGCTTTTAGTTGAGTTGGTTCCTTGAAAGAGCCTTAATGACCAAGTGGTCAAGAGTTCGAAACTCATCGCCCCTCAGTTTCTAAAAAATAAAGTTTCACGTGCAAGGCTCAAAGTGGCCACACCTGAGGGGCATGTTAGAATATAAAAACCTTTCCTCGACCTACAATCACAAGCTTGAGCTTTTGGTTGAGTTGGTTCCTTGACGGGGTTCAAATTAAAAATTCATGAAAAGATAAATGCTTCTAAGTGTTCCAGTAAAAAGGCTATTTCCGAAGTTGAGGCCTGATAACTCCAATCTTTCAAAATATGCACATACAAATCCAAAATCATTCATGAAATGGGAATCGGCTTTTCCTGATATGTGATGACAAACTATAATGAACATTTTGATTTAAACATATCTCTATAACATTATAGAAAAGATTTACCAGAAAGAAGCTCAGCAGCATGAACTGCAGAGTAACCAACATGTCCAAGAGCAGAAGGATCATATGCAACAAGAGCAAAATTGTGGACAGGATCAAGGAAGACTACCTGCTAATAAAAATAAGCTGATTAAATTGAACATTTATGTTTTCAGATCCTAAATTTATAATGATCAAAAAGCTTACCTCCCCAGGAATTTCAATCGGGAAAGCAGCAAAAGACAGCATGACATCAGAAACTGACACTGCAACAGTGTTCTTATCCACAGCAACCAAGCCCATATTTTGTGAATGATATACAATCACACCAGTTCCAAAAAAATGTTGTGAATGCACACCATCCAGCATACATGATGATGGTACATGAACCTACATAATGGACACCATGGAAGGATCTATGTAAAATTAAATGAACAAAATCCATAAACATCAGAACAGTCGACAACAATCACATCACCTGTCTGTAACCTTTCTAGTCTCTATATGACAGGTTCATATTAGTGACTCCCTCCGTCTCGCTGTCTTTGTTCTTTTTTTTACCAATTTTATCCACCACACTTTCCTTGCCTAATTCCATATTTGTCAAAAATGGTTGGTTCATAATATGTCCTAATTTATTCATACTTAAGATAACTTTACATATTCAATATAAACCACACAATTCTACTTTTCATTAATATGACTCTATGAGTGCCACTTCAGAACAGTTGACTACAATGACATCACCTGTCTGTAATCTTCCTAGTCTCTATATGACAGGTTCATGCATTGACAGGTTCATATTAATGACTCCCTCGGTCCCACTGTGTTTGTTCTTCTTTTCCCAATTTTATTTGCCACACCTTCCTAGCCTAATTCCATATGTGTCAAAAATGTGTGGTTCATAATACGTCCTAAATCCTAATTTATTCAGAGGGGGGTGGATAAATATATGATGGTCGACATGAAAGAAATAGTGTTCATATGTCACATGTCATTAAAGGTGTGGATGGTCCGCATGATGTGGATTGAAGGTGTAAGTAAGAAGGCAATATAGTGTTGGGGCTTAATGACCATATGGTTCATGCCAAAAAAGTGCAGAGGAGATTTTTGGTGGATGATGTTGAGAGATTTTGTATTGGTTCATGTAGCTAGCCCAATTCATTTGGGGTTTATCTGTTTATGGCTAGGTTGTTGTTTATGTTGTGGTCAATTGGTCATATAAAAAAAGATTCAACTTTGCTCAAAAAGAGACAGCTACTTCCAGGAGTGCAACTATTGCACAAATGATCTTCAAGTAAACGAGGTTTTAGCTATAAATACTCTTAGAGTGCATCAACATAGTAGCCATTTTGTTGACTAACACAAATGGTGCTAAAGGGATTGAAGGGCACACAAGCAAATTTCCTGAGCTTAAGTAAAGATGTACACTTAGCTTCCAATAAAATTCAGGCTTGTATTTGAAAAAAATACTTCATTGACTTGTGTGAACGGTCCCAACTCAAAGGAAAACGGGAGAAGGAATACATAGAACAAATTATCATATGGTTACCTCAAACAAAACAAGAGTAGGCTCAATCACACGCTCAGCAACTGAGGCGTTAGCAGCCTCTGTTGAAGCGCCTTGATAATCCCTAAGAACTGTGTCTGCTTGGGGTCCTGACTTCTCGATTCTTTCTTCCCTATGCTCGTGTAAGGGGCAAATTGCTATAATAGTTCCATCAGCAGATGAGTTTTCCTGCACCTTTCTTTTCTTCATTCCAGAATCAATATCATCCTGAGATTGTGGTCCCTCGGCAGTGACTTCATTTATAGTTTCCATATTTGTAACACCATCCATTGACTCATGGCTAAAATTTTGAGGTGCATGGTCCATTGGACTAACCTCAGCAGTAGCAGGATACACATTAGGACTCGACAGATCTTCTTTGACGGGAATTACATCAGAAAGGAGAACAGAGTCAGGTGGTAAAGCTGGCTTAGCCAACCATAATCCAGAACTGTCATCACGAGTGTATATCTGAGGCGGGGCATACCACTCATGGCGGTCAACTGTGACTAATACAGACTGCGTCAAGAGTTCCAAAAGTCACTTGGAAAGAAGTAATAGAAAATAATTAAAAAATTAAGAAAATAATATGATCAAAATGGCACCACATATACCTTTCTCCGGTGGCGATCTGTGTGGCTTATGTATTCCAGTGGTATTCTAGAACCCCTAGACAACTTGGATAGGACAGATATTAAATCATCAAGCTTCAAAATATCTTCACCTGCGAATTTCTTAATGATGGAATGGCGTGGAACTCCAGCTCTAAAGAGCATATATCTGCAATTGCACAAAGAGCAATGGAAAGAGGTTACAGATTATTCTGCAAGCATATGGCCCAGTTAATCAAGTTTCAATGATGAAAGTTAAATACTAACCCTGGTTCAGCAACATACACAAGGCCACAGTGAAACCGGAAATTTCTAGCCTGCATCAAGATGAGAAAATGTAAGTAATTATCAGAGGGAGGATCAACAAAAACATAAAAACCATTCAATACATGTATATTTCAGATACTTCAAATTGTTGGGAGTAAGATCCTAGAACTTTTGTGATCCCATGACCAGACACAGTTTCAGCAATGTTACCGTTCATTTTTTGATAGTAAATAATTTAAGGGCATGATACTAGATTTAGTTTATCAACAAATATGATAACTTTCTATCAAACAAGCTGAGGCCTTAATGCACTAAAAAAAGCTGAGGCGTTAATTGTTTTAATAAATGGCATGCAGCTGATAATTTCTAACTTCAATATGCTCAGTTCATGATTTTTGAGTAGTAATAACTATGTGAGGTCTAGGTAGACATGGAAAAACAGAACCGGAACCGATTACCCGAACCAAATTATCCGAATCCAAAACCGAAATGATCCGAAAAATGAAGATCCGATCTATAACCGAAAAACCGAAATGATCCAAACCGAAACCGAACTAAATAATTTATATCTGATTTAAATCCAAAACCGATTAGATCCAAAACTGATCATATCCGAACCAATTAAACCCAAAACCGATTAGATCCAAAACTGATCATATCCAAACCAATTAAACCCAAAAACGATTAGATCCAAAACCGATAGTATCCGAACCCGATTAGAATTAAAACCAATAAAATCTGAAACTGTGTTTGCCTTTCAATAAGAATATTATATTGAAGGTGAGTGTGAATTGAGAAATTGGTTGAATGGTAGCGTAAGAAAAGTGATAAGATTGAGGGAAAGTGAAAAATTAAGTCTTTGATTAGATATTATTTTAAAAATATGGTACTAATTTTAGTTTTAAGTTACAAAATCTAATTAAAATAATCTTAATTTGAAAAAAAATTCCTTCAACCTAGAAAAAATGCTACATAACGCAAACCAAAGCAAAATTTTAAGTTTTTTAAATTTATTTTATTTAAAAATTGATATAGAAATAAAAAAATGTTTACATATTTAAAAAAATATGTCAAAAATTTTACAAAATAAGATGTTACAAGAATAATAATTTATTTTATCAAATAATTAATGATAACGCCAAATAAATAAAATTTTCATAATTTTTAAATAGTGAAGTGTGATATTCTTTTTGGGACGAAAGGATTATTTGATGAATTGTATGGAAAAACTAGATTTTATCCTAATTTCATCCAATTACAATAAATTTTATTGGTTTGGGAGTTAATTTGATTAGTTTCAAACCAATTCACTCAATATTACTCAATAACGGAAGTGTTTAGTGTTATCATTTTCGAATTTGATCTACACCATTAAATTTAAGTGTAAAATTAATTATATTTGACTATATAAAATTTAATTTTATCTAATTTCAATCAAATAATTTACAAATTTTGCGCTCAATTGAATAGAATTCACTTTATTTCACTCAATTTTTACGAAATTGCATTCAATTGGAGCGTAACACTATTTGAATTTATCTTTTTCTTTGTACTGATAAACATAAATATATGAGAAGAAGTAAGAAAAATTGATAGATCAAAACTAAATTTTAAAATCAATTTAATTATATTAAATATATATTTTTTCAATATTTGTAGTCCAAATTTGTAAAATATGACTAAAAAGTCAAAAAATGAAGATAATTTAGGGTGGAGATAGTATAATTAGAAAAAATATAAAATAATATGAGCTGTTGAATTGATGATAGATTGATAAATGTGATAAAACATAAAAAAGAAACATGAATAATTAAATTTTAATTAGAAAATAATATATATCCAAAATATATTTCATTGAAATATATCGGAACTGAAACATATCCGAACTGAACTAGATCTGAAACCGAAATATATCCGATCCAAATTGAATCCGATACGAAATCTATCCGAACCGTATCTGAACCGATTCGAAACCGAACCAAAACCGAAAAATGTATAGAATCGATTTAGATCTGAACCGAAATTAAACTGATCCGAACCGAACCGATTATAACATATATCTGAACCAAAAAATGTAATCTGGAACCGATCCGGTTGACCCGATTGCCACCTCTAGGTCTACGTAGTCTGCTCTGTTCACCACTACACGCGTTCTCGATTAACTAGAACATCTTGTAAATAACTAAAAAATAATATACGTGATATCTTGGGTATGACGGAGTATAAGCTTGTGAGAGTGCAATAACTAGGGATGAAAAAGAAATTATGCAACAAATCAGTGGCTAAATATAGTGCTTCCTTAGTTATATTTTCAACCCTTTGTTAAGGATCAATGCACCACTTTCTTTTTTATAAGAGTTGATAAATATTACAAACCTGTTGGTAAGACAGGGGGTGTATCACTGCACCACTAACTTCCAAAAAGTAGTCAGGAGTTATAGAATGCAAATCCTGAACCTGAAAAATAGTGCTTCCTTATTTATATTTTCTACCCTTTGGTAAGGAGAAATACAGTGCATCGCCAGATTAAAGCTCAGTAGGTAACATGCAGAAAATAACTCACCACTAAGTCAATGGTCAACGGAGCACCACCTCTTTCGATTTTTAGTTCAACTTTCTTTCCAACACTGTCATCAAAGAGAGTTTCCATCTCAAGGAACTGCGTAGTCACCTGCAACAGCATTTTCCAGCAAAATAAAATTACGACTAAAAGAATGAAACAATCCTAAAAGTGCCCGAGGAAAAAATTTGACATAATAAAATCCAACTAAAAGTGGCCGAGCAAATTTTCTTAGAGATCAAAAGCAAACAAAATGTACATTAAATGTTTCCAGGCAATTGAAGCAAAAGAGTAAACAATTACAGCTTGAAGTTAGCAGAACTAATAAATGGTATGATGCTACTCTGATAGTTACAGAAGAGCTTTGGTATTCAGAGCAGGACACTAGCTGTCGGTTGGTGAGTATAAATGTTGAATGGAAAAAGAGTTGGAGTGCATGATGTTGATTTCAAGTGTTCAACCAATAAACATTTGCTTGATTAATTACAGTGTATATTCCCAAGATAAAAATTAAGCATTTGAAAACACTATCAACAAATCCAACTTCAAATGTCACAATTCAATATGATAAAATCAATGTTTCAATTACCTAAAATGGCTTCGTAGGCAGTTGATTCAGCCTCACGATGCATCTTATTAGAAAATCATTAAACATGAATACAATTAGCTCGCTTTAATCAAGTATGACTTTTTTGGATAAATACGGAATATAAGTTAGGACTCTTTTACAGGAGAGAGAGCATTTTACTATTTTTTGTTTTATGTAAGATGCACTGGGACGGGTGCAGGGACAGAAAATGCCATTTTTAAGAATTCCAGTTACAGCAAGGATGTAGCAAAAAATTAATAAAGCACTAAAAATAGCCTCACAACTGCACAAACAATCATGATTAATTAGCAAAAAACAATCCAAAGGCATATGGAAAAATAGTGAAAACTACCAAAAGTATCATATTTGAATCTACAATGCTTCAAAATTTAAAGAAACAAATAAACTTAGTTTTAAATACTTTTAATTGTTAATTAGTATAAAAATAGATTAAAAATATCAGTCATGTTTAGTTAATAAAAATATAAACCTGGCAAACCTCAACATTGTTTACTGCACGCGGAACAATTTTGCGGGACAAAAATACCACATGTTTACGTAACAATTGGGTTTACAGACTCAAAGAGTATTAAGTCAAAATAATAGTTTTGAAAAATTGTCATAAAAAAATTGAAATAGTAGGAGATAAAGATTGAAGAGATATTAGAAAAGAAGACAGCTTCAGTTCTGACAGTGGCAACTACAGAAAATACCTGTTGTGGCTGAGTTGGACTGACTGAGAAGGGTGATTGCGTGAATCGTCTGAACTATGGCTGCTACTTATTCACATGAGCTTACCTAATTTATATCGCTGAACAAGTCATCCCTAGTATTGGAAAGCAATGAAATACTACAAATAAGAAGAAACAAGGGCGAGGGTTGATCGTAGATCCAAACCAGAAACACCCCCTCATTCCCTTCACCGTATCGCCATGGTCCTTGGTCAATGGCCGATTCCTCTCTGTCCAGTGCATTTCCGAAGTGTCTAGAAACGTTCCCTAAGCCATCCCCATCCCATGACAGTTCCAGTCTTCCAGAGTGCCAAGCGGCACACCAGAGTGGCGCACCCGTGCAACCTCGGTTTTACAAGTAGGGCCACATATATCATGTAAAACAGGGCCTCCAAAGAATCAGGGCTGCAGTCGAGCACTACCACTACACCCGTGACTCCCGTCACCCATCGGCACGCAATTGCCGACCACTACAATCATCGGTGACCACTATCCCCACGTGACCACCTCCCCCACAATAAAAAATAACTGCCACCACCAGCAATCATTGCAGCCATGGTGCCACCATTGACTGCTCCACTATCATAAACTACTGACACTGCCTACCTCTTCCCCCGACTACGACTACAGACAGCCCACACCACATTCAAACCAATGAAAGTGGTCTCAACACCACATGTAGGAAAATGAAAGTTTGTTTTGGTCAAAATGCTTTACAAACTATGCAGTATAAAATAGAAAACGGGGAATGAAAAGCTAGAAAACAGAAAAAAAAAGAAAAAGAAAAGTGGAGAATGAAAATAGAAAATTCAAAAATCAGAAAAGTGAAGTAAATGGACCCTCACTTTTCCAATACTCACTTCTCATCAATGTGATTACGGCTATACATAAATTAAATGGCTAACACCAAATGAAAAATAAAACAAGTTCTATTATTAGAAAAAAAATTGAACCTTGAGCAATTAGAAAAAGTCAATGCAAAAAATTGCTTAATCAACTTGTTAGGGACAAGATTACATGTGGGCATGAAGGAGCAATGAACCATTGTGCACGTAATATATATGTAATCATTCACAAATTTCATATATCTAGCAAGATAGAGAATACGCTAACCTTCCCATTCATACAAACAAGCACGTCACCAGCCTCTAAGTGATTATACGCTGGACCACCAGGCACCTGAAAGAAAACAATATCCCCAATAAACAATGATATACAAAAAATAAGGTATACTGTATATTACAAATTACAAAAGCACCAAAAAGACATACCACAGAATCAACAACAAGCATTCCAGTTTCACTTGGTGGAGATGAATTTCGCACCAACTGATTAATTGTAAAGAACAAAGACATAAGCATATGACTATGTTATTACTTTGAGGTGTAACAAACAAACGCAAGGTCATGAACACCATATACCTGTTCAGTTTCACTTCGAAGACCAAGCCGACGGGTTTCATCAAATCCTTTATGGAAAAATGTCACCTACACCACACATTCAAACCTAAATCCTATCATAACCAACTACAAAGCAGTGAAAAAAATCGTATTTAGACAGAAGATGAATGAAATGCTAAGGAAAGTGACCTTGGATAAAATATATGAAAGGAAGAAGGCTTTGCCTTATGTCTAAAGATGAAATTATTTAGAATTCTAAAAACAAGGATTTATAAAGCATGTCAATGACATAAATAACTTATACTCCAACCTGTGTATCAACTTTCAATCAAAACACTATGAATAAATAACAAAAGAATCTTCAAAAGGATACAAAATAGCATACCTGAAGTGTACCACGAGGAATAGAGACCACCTCCCATTTGTTTGTATAATCTCTTCCTTGTTGCAAATATTTTAAAGCCCTTACAACCTGAAAAAAAACAATAACAAAAAAAACAAAAACAAAGATTGAGAACAATCAGGTTTTTGTTAAAACTCCAATAATCAAACTCAAACAGTGTTCGTTTAAAAAAAAACTCAAACAGTAGTAAAAAATGATATTTTTAGGATATCAGGCACTAGACATCCCTATGAAGTGTTTTAATGGTGACTGCTCTTTTTTGTGGGGGTGGAGGAGTGCTAGTTTATAGATATACTCGACAGTATTGTAAAAGAAGCCTACAGACATCAGTGTGCCCCTATGCTGAAGAGAAAAGTAAAACTGGCCTTCTTTATTCCCTGGGTATACCATGTGTACTATTTGGTACATAGGCAATGCTAACCAGCATTTTATTAGGGAACAGTCTAGTTTTGGCATTTGTCCTAGGTCTCGCGTCCAATGGCATTCAAGCAATTTCTATAATATTGGTGTTACTGTGTTCGTATTAATCATAAACAAAAATATAATATTATGTTTTTAGATAATCTAACATTGATAAGGTAGTAATTTGTATTATGTGTTTAATGGGGGACATATCACGTCATACTATAAAAAAAATGTAAGGATAGATCGTCTAGGCGCTTGTCTAGCGATTTTTGTAATAAAAAATCCACTACACACACACAGACTCACACAAACACATAGAAACATATAACCCTTCCTTTTCTGCATTATTAAATCAATAAAAATCTTCTCTTAAAATACATAGATATATATATATATATATAAAAGCATGGATCTCTTTTGTTTTAATGAATATAGAAATACTCGGGGTAGGCTCTTACTCGCTCTAAAGGGAGGAAAAAAGCAGAGGCACTTGATGACTTGCTTCCTGCATTCAAAGCAACTGCTCTGCCCTGCCAGTCAATTACAGGAGAGCCACTTGAACCACCCTTAGTCCCAGATGCAGCCTATCAGTAAGTAACAAACGAGAAGATAGAGAGATTAAACTTCAGCTGTCTAGTGGGTGACAACAGAGTACCATTGATAGCCCAAGAAAAAAGGTGAGTAAGATCACTAAGCTTACTTGCATATAGAAAGTATTGAAGTCATTGTAGCCATCCCTGCACCCAAGAGTAAAAACACCAAAAGAAAGTCATATATGGTGGAAAGCTGACACGGTATCATCACTGGATAAAATAAATTACCTACTTGGGTTTAAAAAAATTGTGTGGCTATTTCAATAAAGTTCAAGTGTAAATTACTTAGTACATGTGATTACTTTTTATTTTTTGGAATTTTTTCTTTGTGAAAACTCGTGCGACTATAATTATTCTTGCTTTTGAAATATAAATTCATGTCAAATCCAATAAATTTGAGATGTAAAATAGATGTGATTATTTTACGTGATTATTTTTGTAATTTTTGTGAAAAAAAAGTAACTATAATTGTTTTTATTTTACTTTTTTGAAAATAAATTCATTTGACAATTCAAGTAAGGTTCAGCTGTGAAATAAATGTGATCCTTTTCCTATTTTTTGGAAAATACTTATCTGTGAAATATATCACATGTGACTACAAGTCTATAATGTTTTTATTGTTTTTCAAAAATAAATTCATTTGATGTTTTACTAATTGATTCTTTTTCATCCATGTGTTTTGAAAGTTGTTGTTAGGAAGTCATAACTACTTTTATTTGTTTTACATTTTTTTTAATTATTTCAGTTTATTTATAACCAATTATTGGTGATGGATGTCCTGATGTAGGGGCTTCAAGGGGAGGTCCCGTGGTGCATGCATTTTGCTCACAATATTGTGCTTATGGACCACACCCACGAGGAACTGAACAAGTTGGAACATAGGCACCTTGGAATGTCGTTTTAGTGACCGGGGAGCAGAATCAAGGGTTGAAGTTATGATTGATTGCCCGACAAGTTTGGGTATCTTGGCTCGGTCATTAGGCACATGGGGAATTAGACGGGGATGTTGTGCATCATATCATGTTGGGGCAGCTTGGGCCAAGTGAACGTTAGGGGTTTTATGCAATAAGAAGATTTCGGCTGCGAATAAAGGTATGTTTTATCGGTCCATAGTCAGACTAGCTATGGTGTATGGTGTGGAGTGTTGGGAAGTTAAGAAAACTCATGTTTGCTAACTACATGTTGTGAAGGTCACATGTTGCGGTAGATGAGTGGATAGACGAGGAAAGGATTCAAAACGATGATATCCTAGGACGGGTAGGTGTCGCACCTGTGGAAGATATGTTGCGCCCCTAAGTTGAGGTGGTTTGGGCATGTGAGACGGCAGAGTGTTGATGCCCAAGAGATGCGAGAGGCTTACGTTGGTGTAAGAAAAGGAGTAGACCTAGGAACAACTAGAAGGGTGATTTGACAGGACTTAGAAGCTAGGATTAAGGTAGTTGGGTAGGCACTTTGGGCTAGGTGGTAGTTTCTGCACTTGTTGTTGGGTGCTTTGTATGCTTGATGCTCTCTACCTGAAGTTATTTTCCTTCGTTGACATTAATTTGTTCTTTGCCTCTTTGTGCTTTGTGCTTCCTTTGGTTTATGTGTTCTGTGATCGGATCTCCTGGAAAGAGTCTCTCTACTTTCGAGTAAAGGTAATGTTTGACATCAAATTAAATAAAAATGATATTAGATATTGATACAAAAATAGTTTTATTAGATTTATTATATGAAATATTTTTAAAATACGATTTTATCTAATTAATATACAATATATATTTTATTTAATTATAGGTCAAAGGTTAAAAATGGTTAACTGAAAAAAGTCAAAACTGGACTAGTACTCAGGGATGGAGGTAGTATTTTGAGAATTTACTTTTATAAACACACACACATACAGATATGTGTGTGTGTGTGTGTGTGTGTGTGTGTGTGTGTATTGACACACACACACATATATATACACACCACACACACACACATATATATACTCCCTTGGTTCCATTTGACTAAGGAACCTCAAACACTAAAGTTTGGATTGTGTTTCACTCACTTGTTCAGAGAACATGTAATAAGGTCCATTCTAAACGTAGAAACTTCACTTTTGATGTAATTTTTAAGGAAGGGGTTTTGTTGACACTAAGGTGCCAATGCATTTCCAGGGCACCCACAATACTCCATTTGTAATATTGATGATTTTTATCTCCTATCTCCCCGGTAACCCCCCCCCCCCCCACCCCCCGCTCGGACCAACCTGAACCAAACCCTCAACCCATTCAATTTCATCCCCAAAATATTGTTGAGTTTAGGGTCACAAAATTTGACCCCAATGTCAACAAAATTTTGGGAATGAAATTTAAGGGGGTGGGGGTGGGTTCGGGCCAGGTCGGGGGATCAACGAGTGGTTAAAGGGGGTAGGAATCATCAATTTTATGAACGGAGTACCGTAAATGTTCCAATTGGAGCCGGTGCCATCCGTTGACACTTATAGTGAGTGTCAATGGATGGAGTCTATATTTATAAATATACCATGATTCATGAATGGATGTCATATCTCATGATTTGCATGATAATTTTACATTGCCAATTTGGTAATGAACATGACAATAACTGTTTCAACTTATTGATATCTCATGTGATCATCCATACAAATGAAAAATAACATATAGTGATGGTGAATTTAGATTTTCATCTCATTATTCATTCATAAGATGCTTGTAAAAACTGCCAATATGCTTTTCCACATGAACTTTTAGTGTTCACTAACTTTAGGCAATTAATTAGCACAATAAAACATCAATAGATAGCTTACTTCTTGTAATGTGGTGCATCTCTATCTAGCCGAGCAAGGGTTCCAGCCAAAATAGACACCTGGAAACCAATCCAGAACATGAAACAAAACATCAGTTTTAAACAAAGAAATGGTGGTGCATATGTCACTAATTAAAACACATTGTCAACTCGATAACACTACCTTGAATAATACAACTTGGTAGCAATAAATTTGATAGTTAATTAAGGAATGTTATATAACATTTCTTGAACATAAACTATAACTTGGCATTGTGAATTTGTGATAGTACCATAATGCATATAAAACCAAGATGCCTGAAAAGATTCTAGTAAACCTCAAAACAATACAAATCAGAGTAAGAAGTATTGAACTATTGAGCAATCAAGATCAAGGAAAAATAGAACCATCTTATCCACATTTTAGCTTTGAATTATTGAGCAATCAAGATACAACAACAACCCAGTTGAATTCCACGAGCGTAGGGATAGGGGAGGGTGTGCGTAAGGAGACCTTACCCCTACCTGAAAGGAGAGAGGCTGTTTCCAAGAGACCCTCAGCTCAAGTAACACAGATAACACAAATTCATAAAAGACACATAAAGACACATTCATATGAGGAAACACAAGCACAAAAAGCCAAGACCATTAATATTAATGAGAGAAAGGCATAGCAAGTAGAGAGCACAAAGAAAAAAGTGAGAAAACTACCACCCAATCCAAGACGCCTACCCTAATACCCTAATCCTAGCTCTCCAAAAGTTCCTATACAAGGCCATATCCTCGGTAAGGGTCAAAAGGAAGTATAAAAGACCATAAAACTTTCAACATATCAAGTTAAAGATATATACTTGGTTGGTGTATATCCAGCAAATAATGAATAACCAATGTTGCGCTTATTCCATTTTTGTTTAACAATATAGAGAACGCTTAACTTAGGCATGCTGAACCAGCAATACCATGCAACATTATGAATCACAGACAATAAACCAAATGGATATTAGACACGACTAAACATTAGGGAAATTCAACTTTCAATGCAATTTATCCACTGTAGCAGGGTTATGTGTTTTATTCGTCATTAGAGAGAGAGAGAGAGAGAGTCTGATTACCACATTACAAGACACATAAAATGTGTACTTCATATACACCAGATTATTCACTTCTCTGTTATAAATTTCTTTTCGCTCTAACTCAATTAATCTTTGACCATTTTTGAGTACTTTTTTCGAAAAAAACTATATCAATCATTAGAGCCCGAGGAAGGAACTAAAATAAAAGTTCAATCAAATAAGGGGAAGCAGATATATGATCTTGTGATGATACCTTCTCTCCACTATCATTCCCAATCACCCTGATTTCCAGTCCTACACAAGCAGCCTCAGGAGCAAGAGAGATTTCTTCATAATTTAAAAATTGGATTGCACTGGGATCATATCGAAAGAAGCCAAAATCATGAACCTACGAAAAAAGATAATCACACTATTCACATCAGCACTACCAGTGTTACAATTGGAAGTATATCTTTGCAAGAATCAAAACCCATAGCAAACTAGACTATCAAAAAATAATTGTTGAAGCCTCAACTCCGACATTACATCTTTTGCATAACACTCATTGCGGAAGTCACTTAGCTATTGTATTTTCATTTTAGTTGTGAAGTTACACAGCCACCAGTCAAAAGAAATCAGCTTTTTTGGCTTTATTCATATTACATAGAATTACAACAACAACCAACCAACCTAATAGATAAATAGAATCCCTCGAATGTGGTCGGGGGTGGGGGTGGGGGTGGACGTAGGTTGACCTTACCCTACCTAAAAAAAAGTAGAGAGCTTTCATGATAAGTAGATATACTAATTGATTTTGAATATACATTGATTTTAGATGGGTTTTTGTTTAATTAAAATGAACTATAGGTTAGATCTCTAAAGTCAAACCCACATATTTTATCTCTTTGAGCTCACTTGGGCTTTCATTGAATTTGGTGTTTGGTATTAATTTTACGAGAAGCAAACTAAATAAAATAATTTTTTGGAATGACCTACATTCACCCAAACAATTCCAGATTTAGGCAAAACTTATGTTGTACTCCGTACTAGAGACATGGCCTTGCCTTATCTAGAGACCATTGATTCACCTTAGGCACTAAAAGAAAAACAAAATTTTGGGGAACCAAAAGCTTTCTTGTGTTGTTGTGTAGTACGGAGTATAATACTATAATTGGCCACTACAGTGTTTAGGTTACCACGCCTTATTTCATTAATATTAAGAGGTCATATCCTCAAATCTAAGGTCATCCTCAGTAAGAGCGAGAAGTCTTATGCCTTGCCTAATCACCCCCTTCCAATTCTTCCTAGGGCCAGTTCCCACAATCCCAGCTACTATCTTGAGCCTCTCGCATCTCAACCAAGCGTCTCGCAGCTTATCCTCCACCGATGCCACTCCCACACGTCTCTGAATAACCTCATTCTGAATCTTGTCCAACCTCGTTTGCCCACACATCCACCGTAGCATCCACATAACTGTTGTATGTAGTTGACGTGGACTTTCAACCGCCCAATATTCTATACCATAAAGCTTAGCCCGTCTGACTACAGACCAATGAAACCTCCCTTTCAACTTTTCAAAAAATCTTTTATTGCACAAAACCCCCGACGCCAACTTCCACTTTACCCAAGAAGCTTTAAGACGGTGAAAAAAAATTCCATCTATCTCTCCATGTGCCTGAATGAGTGAGCCAAGATATCGAAACTTTCATTAGGTGTGAAACAATCCTAACTTCCATCTCTAATTTTGTCACCCAACCACTAAAACCACACTCGAAGTACTTTGCTCAGTCTGGAGCCGTTGGACTCTAAGGATTGACGCCACATCTCCAGCTTATCATTGAGTCCCTCACAGGTCTCGTTATAATATCGTAAGCAAAAAGTATGCACCAAGGGACCTCGTCCTAGACACCATGCGATAGAACATCCATCACCCCTGCAAATAGGATGGAACTAAGAGCAGACCTTGGTGTAACCCCACCTCTCCGGGGAAAGGATTATAGTCACCACCAACAAGCTTCACTCTAGTCCTTACAGTGACGTACATATTTCTGACCACACAAATGTATGCAATTGGAATCCCTCTAAACTCAAGATATCTCAATAAGATCCCTCTCAAAACTCTATCATACGCCTTGAGATTAATGAACACCATGTGGAGGTCCATCCTCTTAGCACAATACTTCATCTCGCACAAGGGGAACAACTTCCATGGTTGACCGACGAGGCGTGAAGCAAAATTAGTTCTCGAATATACAAACCTCCTTCCGCAACCTAGCCTCTATAATGTTCTCCCAGACCTTCATGGTATGGCTAAGAAGTTTGATGCCTCTATAATTATCGTAATTCTTGATATCACCTTTCCCTTTATATAGTGGGATCATCTGATCACTACAATCTCTTTCTATTCATCAGGCATCTTAGCAAAACATTGAAGAGCTTAGTAACTTAAGCTAATCCACTTTTGCTCACAGACTTCCAAAACTCCACTGGAATCTCATCTGCACCCAAGGCTCTCCCTCTTTTCATCCCGCGAATGGCATTCACCACCTCTCCTTCTAATACTCCGACAGTATCCAAATTCATGATGCATGTTTGACTACCCCAGCTCACCTAGCTCTAGCATCCTATCTCCTTACTCATTTAGTAAGCCATTGAAGTATTCACCCCACTAGAAGGACACTTTTTTATCCCCCAAATAGTATATGATAAATTAATTAACTACTAATCATTATTTTTTAAAAAACAAAACTACGTAGAATTAATCATTTTTTATATGTACTAAAATATCTTTCCTTAACCTAACCCTAGCCATCTCTCTCTTTTCTTCTCCTCTTCTCTCCCTCCCTCCCTGTTGTGTCACTCTCCTTCCCTCACCTTCTTATTTTTCTCACTCCTCCAACGGCCACCTACGCCGCCTTTTTCTCTCTCACCCCTCGATCATGCCCCATCTTTCTTCTTTTTTTCTTCTTCTTCCTCCCTCCCTTCTCTACCCATCAGCACCGCCCTCCCCTCCCACTTGTGCCGCCCATCTCAGAATCTCACCCATGCTGCCACCACTCAACCCCATCCCCCTTGCAGCTCCACCTTCCCTCGCCCCCAACCTTTTTTATCCATCACCATTACATCTACCGCCCAAACTCCTACTTAGTGGTGGACAGTATCGTGAAGTTCCAACAGACAGTATCGTCATCGTATCAGTGGACAATGTCTTGTTTTCTTCTCTTTCATCATCATCATATCAGTAGACAGTAGTGCCGCCGTAGCTGAGGACAGTATTGTCTTCGTAGTCGACGAGAGTAGTGTCATAGCATAGCAAAGGGTATTAACGATGGGCAGTAAAGGCATCGCCATGGACAATGACAACAACGGGGAGAGAGATGCAATAATTGTGAAGGTGGTGGTGAGGAGACAAAGCAGTGATTGTGATGCATCAAGCATATTAAAACAGCAGAGATGCCAAAGTAATAAAGTCTGAATATTATTGTTAATTTGTTATATTAATAATTTAATCCTCGGTGGTGTAGAATATAAACATTAATGTATTACAATAACATTTTGGACAATGCATATCTAGAGAGAAACAATGGCTTGGCTTTTAATGTGCCAAACTCACTTCCCATCAGAAAACCATAAATATTGGAACAGAACCAAAAATTGGTCAAGGCAAACATTACCAAAAGATGTTATCAATGTTAGTAGCATATTAGTAAATTGTTGGTTCGTTGTTTCATCACAAAAAAAGCATATCTATAACTTGAATAACTCTCAGCATACACGAGGTAGCATACATGAGCAGTGAACCTTGTGGTGGTCCTAAGTACAAAGTGAATATTCAGAAACCGCTCTATCATCCCATACCTGCCCATCTCAAATTCTGGGATAAAAAAAAGCCAAGAAGCTCAAATTTTGTAACTCTTTTAGAAAATGTTTGACATTTTCTTTCAACTCGCGATCTTCCCTTTTTCAGAACTTAAGAAATACTCAGAGGAACAGAACCGTGTGAAAAACACTTACAGGGTCTCTGTATATTGGATAGACAGGGACTTCTTCGCGGTTCACAAACATAGCTTCAGCCACCACTGGCCCTTTAATGCAAGCAATCATCAGAAATCAGTGATCCAATTAAAAAGAAATTCAATTAAAATAACAGCAAAGCCAATGCTTGTGTCGTTTTTTTAAACAGAGTATATAAGAAAGCAGGGGTCTTTTCCATTAAAAAATGATGTTCCTCTTTCAATTCCTGCTCTTAACACTAACTAAAGGCAGCAAAATCAATTCAAGTGTAGTTAAAATAAGAATGGCGTATATGAATGCATCAATTAATCTAACCAGGTTTAACAACGTGTCGATTAGTGAGTATAATCCCACGGCTCTTATCAATAACAAATCCAGTTGCGTAACCAGCGCTGGCGGACTCAGTGTCGAAAGCTCGGCAAGCGGTGGTGCGGATGACGACCACCGCCGGAACCACCTTCCTGAGCGCCTTCCGCCAGTCCTCGGCGGTGGCAAGGTTCTCCTTTTCCGGAGGATCAATCTCCATGGACAAGACATCGTTCACCATGCTCGATTCCTGTTCACCCGATTCCAAATTGCCCAGCAAATCTGACATCCTCCTAAAAAGCCTAATTTCACCTCTCAATCAAAAATGATCTGAAGCCTGAAACCTTTGAACAGCTTCAGGGTTTAGTGCACAATTCTCTCACTCTCACTCTAGCAGAAAGAGAGAGAGAGAGAGAGAGAGAGAGAGAGAGCTGAAGTATGAATGGAGTTTTACTACAGACTGGCAAACTTGAAGAGCTTCCCGTCCATTGACTATGAGGACTTGTGTATTGTAAGCTGTAAAGGGATGGAAACCAATGAAAAGTTAAGTGCTCGGTAGAAAATATTTGAATTCTTATTACGGACTACGGGATATTTAATCTTTAATACTCGGTCAGTACTTACGTATAATTTGTGTGATATTTTATACTTTTGGAATGAGAACATATAGAAATTTGACCAAGGCAAAAAGAATACAATTGTAACAAGTTGGGCTCAGAAAATGTCATATTCGATAGAGCGTAGAAGGTAGTTGGGGTATGCTTGATTTAGAAAAAGTAAAGGTAATTGTATCTATTTAGACGAAATTGAAATTTATATGACACATGTAGATACGAAAGTTGAAAAGTTTTAAGGGACGAAGAGAGTAATCTTTTTCAGTTCTATAAATACTATTTTGATACAAAAATATTGAGAATTTTATTTTGGTATATGGAGCATGATTTAGTCTTAATTAGCTATTACTTATTTTTTTATTATGAACTCGAATTAGAATATATAACTTGAATTTCTAATTAAATTTGTACTCCCTTCGTCGGAAAATAATCGTGTCACTTCGAACAACGTGCAAAATTTTATCTTTTTTATAATTATTTTACTTATGAATTGGTACAAAAAATATGTACAAGCTACATATTTTAAAATTACATCAAAAGTTTTATCAAACAAGATTTGAGAAAAAAAATTACTACTCCGTATGTTTTATTAAATAATCAATTAAAGTATACAAACAAACAAAAAATATCGGAAGCCGGAATAGTTTGTGAGATTATTATTTGGGATCGAGGAGAGTCCGTATATGGTACAACAACTAGATTATACTCATTTTGAATAAAATAGTGCCCATTCTCACACAAAACATAAGAGTTCATTTTGGTGTTAAAGAGTATTCATTTTAAAATAACTTGTTCATTTTGAATCAATGTAGTGCTCATTCTGAAAAAGCGTAGTGTTCATTTTCATACATTTGTTCATTACAGTTATAATATTCATTTACGAATAACATAGTGTTCATTCTCAAATAAAAGTATGTAGTGTTCATTCTCAAGAGAGTACCGTTCATACCCGCCGAAGCACAGCTTTTTTTCTTTTTCTCTGTAGGCTAGCCGGCTACAACTACGGCTTTCTCATCCATGGACGCAGTGTTCATCCCCGATCAAACTAGAGTTTCCTCCCCATCAATGATGCGGTCTTGATGTCACCAACGCCGGTGCTCCATCATTCCTTCGATTCTAATCCTGCTTGTCGGTGCTTCATCATTTCTTCGCTTTCATTCCTAGCCGTCATCGCCAGTGCTCCATCGCGCTCCTTTGGTTTTCCCCCAAATTAGAAGTCAGGCACACGCGAAGAATTGTAAAGCGGTTGTACTGTATAAATTACGGAGCGAGGGAGTATTTAATTAATAAAATAGCACCAATACCCCCCGGGTTTTCAAAACTTAATTATTTCTAAAGTCTCCATGATCTAAAAAGTTACACCCATATCCCTTCTTATCATTTTTCCACCATTTTTCCAGCAAAGAAGGGGTATTAGTACATATTTTCCAAAGCATAGGGGGCACTAGTGCTCAACTAATTATTTATTTATTTTTAATTGTTTTTTATTCTTTTATTAAACAAAGTTTTTTAAATTTCTTTTTAAAATTGTTTTTATAATGTTCTTAAAATTTAATTTTCTTTGTTTGAAAATAAAATTAACATATACTGCATTTGTACGTCTCAAATTAACAATTTTTATTTTTTTTCTAAAATAAAAAATGAAAAATTTGTTTTGAGAACTTCAAAAAATGAGGAATAAAATAAGAAATAAAATAAAACATAAAAGAAAAGTGAATATCCTTGTTCGACATCCTAATTCTAAAGACATTTTTAGACGTTCTGAAAATATCTCTTTGCATAACTCTTTTTTAGATGCTCAAATTTTTTTCATTTCATTTTTCATATTTTTATTTTTATATTTTTGATTTTCTTTTTTAACTTACTAAAAATATTATTCTAGAAAATAAAAGGTTAAAATGTTTTTTTAGATAGATGGAGTATATATGTTAATTTTTTTAATTTCAAACACATACTTTTGAATTTTTAAAAAAATTAAAAAAAAAATTAAAAAAAATTTCTATGAAAGGGAAACAAAGAGATAAAAAAATAAAAAAGGAATAATAAATGAAAAACAAGAAGGGAGCACGTTATCTCCTCTGCATTAGAAAAAATGCCCCCTTTTTCGCCGCATGATCAGGGGAAGTGTAGATGCAACGTTTGAAACCACGAGGACTTAAAAATAAGTTTAAAAAACAAAAGAGGTATCAGTGCTAATTTTCCAAGTCACTGGAGCTGTTTGCCCATTAAAATAGTAACCAAATCTTAAGCAAATATTCTATTGGTGTGGTCATAAGTTAAATGATTGAACAAATTGATTTTGAACTTTAAACTTGCCTAATTTCATATACGGTATAAAAAAGCCAATAACTCAATGGTCAAATAAAAATTATGGTCGTGTTTGGAAAATAGCTTTTCAGATATCTTTTGGCATCTTTGATTGACTTTGGTTTTTTTGATTAAGCGAACAACCAAAATCATTGTTTGGCTTTATGGCTTTTTCACTTGGCATTTTGATCCGAGAAGCCAAAATCTGAAAAGCCAAGGGAGTAGCATTAGGACTTGGCTGCTAGGAAAATTATTATTTTTAAATCATTTTTCTTGAAAGACATTCTATAATATATGTAAAAATAAAAGTTAAAAAAATTCGAAACAAAAAAAAATATTTGAAAATTTCAAAAACAAGAGATGAGAGAATAAAAAGTAAAATTTATAAAAAATGTTGTTTATTAATAATTTCCTATGAATTAAATGAAAGTAAAATTACATACTCCAAATAATAAGGATTTAATTTTTACATGTAAAAAAAATAAAAAACAAATATCGCGCGCGTGTGTCTATATATATATATATATATATATATATATATATATATATATATATATATATATATATATATATATATATATATTGCCACCTAAACTAAACAGACATTCACAACAGCTAGCATTAACTGTCAACTGCCAACAGCCAACATTCAAACAAGGCCATAGGCATTCACGAAACATAATTATTGAAAATTATGTATTTAATATTTTAATATTACTTTAAGTTCACGAAATTCTACTTTGTAGTAATTTAACTCGATAGGATTATAAAACAATCTAAATATACTTTATACTACGAAGTATATTAGTTTCTTTGAATACTCATTTTAAACAAGTGATGTGTGTGTGTGTATATATATATATATACACACACACATATATCAATTACTTATACCAATTTGTTTGGGATACCTATGGTTTCTCATTAAAAAAAGTATACTTTGTAATTCCTACCCGTCTAAACCTTGAGTTTTGCTTCTATGATTCTAAGGTTCACATATGAAATGTGGACCTTCTCACAATTTTTATGGACCAACATGGAAATTTTTTATTTTTTCAAAAAGTCCAATTAATTTATGTTTTTTTATATACTAAGGTCTATAAAATGAGTGTGAACTTTTGGACCATGGAAGAATGTGTTCTAAACCCCACATGCCTACCCCACTCCAGCCCACCCCTTGCCCTCCTCCTTATCCTAGAAGTATAGACTGCCAAGGTAGGGAGGGCGCAGGATAGGGGAAGGGGTGGGCTCGGGTGAGGATTTCTGTGGAAAGTTAAAGTGGTAGGAACCATCAATTTTACCAACATGATACCATAGGTTCCATAAACAAACTAGTGTAAGCAAATGACATCTATAGCATTGGTGTCATTTTAGACTTTATATATATATATATATATATATATATATATATATATACAACAACAACAACCCAGTTAAATCCCATAAGAGTAGGGTCTGGGGAGGGTGTGTGTACGCAGACCTTGCCCCTACTCGAAAGTAGAGAGACTGTTTCCAAAGAGACCTCCGGCTCAACGTCGGAAGTTGCATTGCTTGACTAACTGCTACTTCATTAATTAAAGAAGCGCAGACAGTTTAGAGATCCATTTTGATTTATTCCATCGCACCCCAAAGCCAAAAAATGGTGAAATTTTGGCTCCATCGGAGATGATGGATATATATATATATATATATATATATATATATATATATATATATATATATATATATTTATTTATTTATTTATTTATTTTTTGGTTAAAAACAATTAAGGCCTGTTTGGGAATACCGTTAGAGATTAGCGTCAGCGTTTTGGATAAAATTTCAACGGTGCAGATTAGTTTGAAAATGCTAACGCTAAATGTTGCCCGTAGATAGCCTTTTCAAAACGCTAACGTTATTCCCAAACATGTTCTTATTAGAAAGGAAAAATGTAGAGTACTTCGTGGTATAATAGTAAAGAAATCATCAAAATAGGATCAAAACATAACTTCTATTTCCAAAATGGGACGGATATATTTTTATCTTTAGAATGAAATTATTACACTAATGTAATATGATGCTGTATATTGAAATTATCCAATTTTTTACATTAAATATTATTATTATAAGTCATATTTTAAAATAAAAATATAAGATCATATTCTTGCATTCTCCCTATATTTTAATCCTATTTTGACTCTTTTTGCATGAGTACTTCCTCCGTCCTTAAATATTTACCACATTTCAAAAAATGACACAAAATATCAAGTTTTTTTCAATTGATTTTATTTAAATATTTGTATAGAAATAAAAAAATAAAATTTACATATTTAAAAACTACATGAAAAACTCTTCAAAATAAGAGGTGTCAAGAATATTTTATTTTATCAAATAATCAATGAAAATGTACAAATAAACAAAAATTCTCATAACTACTGTAAATATAAATGTGGTAAAGCAAATGCTTGAGAAGTCATCATCTCACTATAGTTCAAAGTAAAAATGATGTTCTTGTAATTTGAACTCTTCGAGTCTTTATATACTATATAATTTGAAAATTGGGTTTCTAGAATTGTGACATGTGGCGTGTTTATCGGACATATTTTTAACATGTCAACATGTCATGTCACCAAGTAATATTTAAAGAATTAGTTAACAAAAAATAATTGTGTGGAAATTAAATTTCATATTTGTCACACACAAATTTCTCACCATAGTTACATTTAATTTTTTTTTAATCTTAAATCATTATTTAAGAATTTTTAAATTAAATAATATATTTTGAAATTGAAAAAAGAACTCATATCCAAAACAATAATCAAAACAACTAAATTTATTCTAAGAAAGGTCAGATTGGTAGGACTAAAGAAAATTACATGTGAATATTTTTTTCCATTGAATTAATACTAATTGGAGAAATTTTCTAATTTTGAAAAAAGAGAAACAAATATATAAAAGGAAAGGGATCTTTATGGGCATGTTTATTTAATAGAGCATTAATTTTTTCTGTATGTATAAAAAAATTCTAAGTCAAATAACAAGTATGTTCCAATTAAAAATTAATATTTTTCGCTACGAAACTTTGTAAAACGTTATAGATTTGTGCCACAAAAATTATTATTTTCCAATAATAACTTTGTAAAATGATGAATATTTGGTACGAGATATTTGTATGTGTGTAAGAAATTAATTATTAATTGGTGTTCCTAATCGAAATATTCATGATATAATATTAATTTTTCTAAGGGGCTGTTTGTTTCAGCCTCTCAATGGTTCAGATGTCTGAATGGTTCAGCATTTAATAGTTCAGACTGTTTGTTTCAGCCTCTTAATGGTTCAGATGTCTGAATGGTTAAGAGATTTGCCTCTGAATGGTTAAGCATTATACAGAGTCTGAATGGTTAAGACCTTGTTGGGCCCCCACTGCAAATAAATGGAAAGAAAAGAAAAGAGAGAACACAAATTTTTAACGTGGTTCGGCACCTCAAGACCTACTCCACGACCCCCTCTGGGATAAAATCTCACTAGTAATTTTTGCACGGAAAAATTACAAACCCTCTTCAATATTTGACACTCACAACCTAAAATCTAATACACAATTATATAGATTGAAGGATTGTGTTGTGTGATGGAAGCCTATATCTCCTCTTTATTTATAGGCTCCAATCCCTCCTCAATTTTCCTATCCCACCGATGTGGGACTTTGAAGTAACACTCAACAAATCTCCCCTTAATTCAAAGTCCTACATCATTTGCGATTTCTGCAGCGATACTCCCATCCTGCAGAATCTTCTATCCAGCAGTACTCTTATCTTCAGAGGAGATCATCTTCATAAGTGATCACATTTGCGAAAGAAGCTTCCTTCGATTTGCCCTTCTTCTCCTTTAGGATCTGCAAGTCCTCCTTGAGTTCTGGACAACCGTTCTTCGTGTGACCCAACTTTTCACAGTAATAGCACCTAACAGTGCTCATGTCTCTCAGCTGAGATCTTCTCCCAAGTTGGTCACTCTTCTTCTTCCTCCCTTTCTCAACACTCACAGCAGCTAGTAAATGACTGTCCCCGGAAGACT